GCGGCTGGACGGAGGTGCCGGCCCGGGAGGCTCATGGCTTGCGTGTCGTTTCTAGGCCTGCTGGGACCAGGGCTTCAGGAGGACACCATGACCGGGAGGTGAGTGATCTGCCCCGAGCTGGCTCTCGCCTCGCTGTTACAATGTGCTTTTGACAAGTCGTCTTGCAAACGGAGCATTGCTGAGGGTGTTTTGTAAAAGCTGCGGGCGATGATCCGCTTTCCTGTGGCTGCTCTCATGTTCCAGGACAGCTGCTCTGCCCAGTGTCCTGCTGGGCCCTCTGGTGAACGCCCACAGCTCTGTCTCCCTGTTCTGTAGCTTCTGCCTTAAGCTGGCTGTAGCTGTTTAGGTGATGCTTTCCCCGGCCTGTCGGTAGGTGCGGGGCGTTAATAGTGGTTTTGTTAGCACGATGTTTGTGAACCTTCAGCGTCCAGTACAGGCTTTGACACCCTGTTCCCCTCAGTAAGGGAGATACTGTGCTGTCGGGTTTTCTTACGGATATAGGAATTGAGTTTGTAATGTGGAGGGATTAAATCTGAACCGCACCTTTTTGGCTTCTCTGTGGAGTTTATCTTCTGTTATGCCTGTGTGGAAGGTAGAACTGGATAGCTTGATTTAATACTGCTGTGTTACGGGACGGTTGCTATATGTAGTGGAGACAGTCCTGATGTGTGCAGTGAGCCTACAATTGTTTTACCTGCGTGGCACAGACAGGTCTTTGTCATGAAGAATTGTTCAGGAGTTGGTGTGATGTCCCTTGTCCAGTGGAGCTGCTCGCTGGCTGTCCCCGTCCACTGCAGCTCGTCCTTTTGAGGCTACAAATCAGCAGCAGTGACTGTCTTCTGTAGTGATTACTGCAACCCAGAGCACTCAGTTTGTGGTGTGTAGAAAAAAAGTAGTATTTACTCATCACAGAGTGTTTATAGACTTTTGAAAGCATAACGCCTGCTGATGTTGGAGCACTTTGGTTTTGGTATGAAGCCTGTAGTGCCTGAAGTTTATAACAAGCAGAAAGAGACAAAATTCTCATAAATCCCCCCTGTCCCAGTTACTTGGCTTTCCTCTGTTGACTGGATGTAAGGATTTACAGTCATTTGTAAAAGCAAAAGCAATGGGCTTTTTCCTCAGATAAATTTCTACTGGTGTGGAAAAAACTTCTGCTGAAACAGCACGTGATCTGTTCTTACGTTTGATGCTTTGGAGTGAGTTATAATTCGTAAATGTTTTCAATGCCTTTAGGCTGTGGTGCAAGGCCATTTTTGCTGGCTACAAACGTGGCCTCCGAAACCAGCGGGAGCACACTGCCCTTCTGAAAATTGAAGGTGTTTATGCCCGTCAGGAGACAGACTTCTACTTGGGCAAGAGGTGTGCCTATGTGTACAAAGCTAAAAAGTAAGTCACTTTTTATTGTCGTGCTAAACTAGCCAACTCCTGTATCAGCTTTTGCAAATGCCAGGATGTGAGCAGTCTGTTTATAGAGCTTTTGCCAGAACAAAAATTAATTTGGCTCAGTTTATCAATGGAACGTCCATGGAGTACTGTGTAGACTAGTTTCCTGGGATCGTTTTGTTTTTAAAGTCCTTGGTTATTTTTATTTTAATTGGCCTATATGTTCTTAATTCAGATCATGAAATAATGATGTGAGACAATCATTCCCTGTTAAAAATTATACGTTACAGAGCAAATGGGGTGAGAAACAAGTTTTGTCTGAGACTGGCAAAAACTGAAGGTGGGTTGATAAGCATAAACTGAAGCGAGGTGAATTTTAATTGAGTACTGTGAGCTATTGAGTCTCTCCAACAGCGGGATTATTTTGTGAAGCCTGGAGGAATTTGTATCCTGGCTTTTGCGTGCCCGTGTCCGAGCGCTGTGGCTCCATTGCTGGGGGCCTTAAGAACAGTTGCTTAATACCTTCTACTTATTTTTTTTTTTTGAATGTAGTTGTTAGAGTTCAGATATGGGAGCTCAGAACGGAATAAAATTGATCAGACTGTTAACTTGACCATCATCATTTCCGAGATGGCACGTGGCTTTCCTTATAAAGCCATTTTTTGCAGTCTGTCCTGATGGCTTAGGCCTCTCCTGCCTTTGGTGTGTCTGGAGAAATCTGACAGATAAGACATTGCATTTTCTTTGGAGCCAAAATGGATAAGTTTTCCGTTTGATCATATTAGCATCAATGTTTTCCAAATTTTTAAGCTTCGTCACTTGTTAATACTTCTCCAGTGGAGCTTTGATAAATTCCAAGCTGCAGTACTTACACATGTGGAGGGTACAGTGAAAATCCCAGGCCTGGCAAATTGCACAGGTAAATAAAGTAGAAGGTGGTCCAGTTAAAGATGGCTGTGGAATAAATTTGCAGAAGTGCCTTAAAGAACCTGCATCGTTTGTGCTCAGCAGTTCTCCTCCTCCCTTTCCTCAGCAACACGGTAACCCCTGGGGGCAAGCCCAACAGGACACGAGTGATCTGGGGGAAGGTGACCCGCGCCCACGGCAACAGTGGCATGGTTCGTGCCAAGTTCCGCTCCAACCTTCCTGCCAAGGCCATTGGACACAGAATCCGGGTGGTAAGTGGATTTATTTTGGCAACAAGATATTTATTGGCAGTTTTCGGAATGCCTTGTAGTCCCATGTAGTATAAGGGGAAACTTGAACTATGGTTCTGTTGTTGTTGTGTGTTCGACGTGGGTTGTTGATGAGTGCTTCTTGGGGAGCTAGGAGGGGTTTTTAGCCGGCTTCTTGTGCTGAGGGGGTTGGTCCCTTGGCAAGGGGTTTGTGTGCTTTTGCTGACATTGTCTGGAAAGGCTCTGCGAGTTCCAGGGCTCTTCCTCAGCTCCCATCAGAAGCTATCTTCGTTTCTTTTCCCAGGATTTTGTACATGCATTTTTGTACCCTTTCCACTCCAGTTTGTACCTGTTGATAGATTTTTTTCCCCTGTCTCCCAGACATTGTAACTGAGGCCCTGACCTGTCCGCTAATACCTGCTCCGCAGTCGATGTTTTAGCTGCAAGGTTCGGTGGGACTGGCCCTTCAGGTCCTTCACCCAGAGTTTTGGTGCAGTATCTTCCTAGTGATGTCGTCAAAAGGAGTATCAGAGGGGCGCAGTCCTTCCTTTCCGTCTTTCTCCTCTGCCTTAGAAAAAGAGCAGTGGGAGCAGCACAGTTAAATCCTGAAACTAGACCCATGAGGGCTCTTCCCGTCGGCGAGCAGGGGGCTGGCTGCCGGGGCAGCCTGGACGCCAGCAGCGTGCTGTTCAAGTCGCTGAGCTGGTTCTTAGGCCTTCCCGCTCTTGCACCTCTTCTGCGGAAATGGGGGAGTCGCTTTTAGAGCAGTTGAAGAGATTGATGATGTAGGTTGTAACTGCAAAACTTGTGTTTAAAATAATACAGTCCAATAACGATTTCTAACGCGATTCTATCTGTTCTTGTCTTTTACAGATGCTGTATCCATCTAGGATCTAAATTTTTATTGGAAATAAAATGGAGAATCTGTTTAATTTTTGTACATTTCTATTTTTATCCCTTGCACCTACTTTGAAGGAATTTGTTCTTTTTCAGTAGCATATCAGAGCTCGCAAGAGAGGGACAAAGTAGTGACTCTAAGCTAGATGATGAAATGGAGATTGGACCTGTGCTGGGCAAGGCGTTTGTAGAGCAGACTGTGTTCTAAAGACAGTAACTGGCAGCCTTCACTGCGACCCGTCTGTGCCTCCCATCAGGGAATCTGAATGGTTTGCAGGGCTGAACAATAAATGTTTGCAACCTCATAAACTGCACACAAGCTTCATGTAGAATATGAGAAGTAATCAGTTCTTGCCTACGTAGTAGAGGGAAACTGCTTGTTCTGTTCCTCTTGTACTTGGTGGTGGCTGCTGTTGAGACAAAACTGTGTAATGGGACACTAAATCCCAGCGGGTGTAAGCCCTAGCTCGCATCTAAAAATAGTAGTTCTGGTAGAACCGCAACGAATGAGACGGTGTGTACCTGGGCAGCACACATGCTGTGCGACTTAGACACGTTTTCATCACGCACCTCTGCCGTGCTTGAGCGTCAGTACTTGCTGGTTTCCTGCGTCATGTGGGGTGGCGAGGATCCTTACATCAGGCTGGTGTATCATGAGTTCTTGCAAGGTTTGTTGAACAAAAAGGTGGTAAAAAAAAACCCAAACCCCACATTCCTAAAGTGCAAGCCTCAGAGTTTCTTAGTACATCCCTCAAAAATACTGGGTAGTTTCCAGGGAGGTTTCAGGCAGCTGCAGGTTGGGATGGTTCCTGCTCATGTCACAGTCCCAGAATGACCCATCAGCACCCTGGGCGGGTGATTCTGTTGATTCCATGTAATTGTTTCCTCGCTGGGGAAGCGTCCCGAGTTGGTGAAGCAGGTGAGTGGTTGCCCTGTCTGTCCCCCCATCCTGCTCCAGTGCAGGTCCCTCCTTCCCCATGAGGGAGAGCTGCCTGCTCCCTGCCCGGCCCCCTGCCTGTGGGCTGCAGGGAGCCTTCTGAGCTGGGGGCTTGGCTCGGCTCCCCTCCTGCAGTGGGCTGATATTTCAAAACTGATCCTCTTCCTTCTGGAGGAGGTGGGGCAGGGGTGTGTTCAGAGTGCACTACTGGGTAAGGTAAGAGTTTCTTTTGAATGGCAGTTCAAGCAAACTTTGGGCCTGGCCACTCAGCTCTGCTGGAGAAATCACTTCACTGGACTTGCTTCAGGAGCGGAACCTGCTGCTACTGCTCTGCAGCAGCAGGAGAGCGCTTGCAGTGGAAAGCTGCATTTTTATTTTTTTTTTTATCCTGTGGAGAGAAGCTGCAGCTTGTGGGATGCTGGGTCAGGTCAAGCAGGGCTTTAGTCTTCTGCCAATACTGATGGGTTGTACACACAGGGTACACATAGGCGTCAAAGAAGGATGGGGCGGAATACAGATTGAATTTCCAGTTTGGGGCGTTATGGAGGAAGGAGGAGGAAGTGTGGTGGGCAAATTGGACTGTGACAGCGGGTTGGTAGGACTGTGGTCCCTACCTGTGGTTGGATTCTGCTGATGAGAAGGTAATAGGTGCTCTTGAGTTTGAGGTAGGATCCTCAAAAGTACGTCATGTTCCTTTTTCTCTCCGCTCTCATCTTTTTCTACTGTACCAGACTGCTGAGGTACAAAGCCTGTTCCTGGGAGGTCCAACATCGAATAGCATGTGGCTACAATTTTTGAATTTTTGGGTCAAAACCCTGCTATTTCCTTCCACATTCATTTGGTCCCACCAAAACCAGTGTGTTTGCTTGTACATGGTGGCTGCTCAGAGCAGCTGCAGCAAACCTCTTCCACTCCTTTCCCCAGCAGTGCAGCCAGCCAACATGTGGGAGGAAGCTATGGCGTCAGAGGAGCCTGCCGTCTGCTTCTTCGTGGACCAAACCACCTGGGAGTTCCTCAACCTGCTGGACTTAGTGGGGAGGCGGAACGGGCGGGTGCTGGTGTTGGAGGTGCACAATGACAATGTGAGAGCTCCCTTGATGCTGGCGGATTTTGCCCATGAACTGTGCGGCATGGCTGACGTCAGGGCTGAACGACAGCCGGCAGAGAGGGTGGCAGTGGAGGAGGAGGAGGAGGAGCAGCTGCCACATCTGATTTTTATGCTGTGGCAAGCCACTGTGTTGAAGCAGCTCATGCAGTGGGATTACCTGGATGAGACCCTCTGGGAGGTGAGGAACCTCTTCCCCTGCCTGCCAGACGTGCTAGTGCTTGTGATGATCCACCCGGATCCCCAGGAGCAGCCGGACCAGGCAGTGGGAGCGCTTAGGAGAATGCAGTGTCTGTTGGATGGGACCTGGCAACTGGTGGTGGAGGCAGCGGTCTACAGGCCAGGCCAGCCTGATGGTATCCTGGAGACAAAGAGAGCTGCGTGTAGAGCACTGAGAGAAGTCTCAAACTGCCATGAAGGTATACTGGGACATAGCTAAACGCACGGGTGAGGGACAAAGAGACAGGCTTTTTTGGGGGAAAAAAAAATGTGCTTGGGGTGTGGCATGGGAGGGTCTGAGGACAGTGTAGACCAAAGTGATGCTTTGTGTCTGGGTTCAGATACGGGAGGGAAGGTAAGCTGGGTCCTGCAGGCAATGTGAGCTGGGAGTGAGGGCTTAAGTGCTGGGATGGGGATGGACAATGTGAGTCCAAGCCAACTGCCCCCTTCCAAGTTGGACAGTGGTGGCTCTTGCTTCTTGCCCCAAAACACACATGGCTATGGAGGCGCTGCTCGGTGTAACAACGGCAGTCCTGACACTGCCTGGAAGCTGGGGCTTTCTGTTACGATGTTAGCAGCTCCACGGTCTCACTGACCCTGCGTCCTTCATTGGAGCAGTGTGCCAACTTTTTTGGGTGAGCCATAGGCCAAAGCTTTGACCAGGATGATGCCTGCTGTTCTTCTGTCATGTGTGTTTCCTTCCCTAGAAATCGAGTCCCAGAATCCGTTCGTTATTTCGTTCCCAGAATTCGGTTGCTGCCGTGTTCTGCCTGAACATATGCGACACGAGGTATCGAAGACAGCTGGAGAATGAATTCCCTTGGGCAGCAGAATCTGTCAGGTTGGGTTTAGCGCTGTTCACCTGGATGTCCCTTTGTAGGAATACTTCCCTCCTGGTGCCTTGCTTGTCTGCCCAGTCCTTTTGCATGGACATGGTTCAGTACGTGGCTGCTACCAGAAGGGGACACTGTGCCCTCAGCCACACGCTGTCCGTGCTACAGAGCTCAGATTTCTTTGTGCATTGGCTGAACAATCTACCCCAGGAAGCTTCTGTAAAAAAACCTACTGAGTTTCTGTTTTGCATAAAATGCTTTGCTCGAATATCCAAATACCCTTAACAAACCTGCTGGGCTGTCACCAAGAAACCAGCTGTCAACAGAGAGGGAGTCAGAGCAGGCCAGTGGCCTCAATTTTAAACTGTCCCCAAACTGATACAGTGAAAGAAACAGAGGTAAGACTTAAGACCATGTTTTCCTAGGAGAGCCTGGGTGCAGGGGTCTTTGATACATAATTCCCATCAGCACAAAGCTCCTGAAATTCCCCAGGGTTCTCTGTTGTCACAGGATGGTGAGAAATCAAAATTTGCTGCCCCCTCTTGCTTATTGAATGAGATGCTGCAACCAAGACAAAGGTCCATCTCCTGTTGCGCTGCTATTTGCCATTAGAGCGTTGGCCTTTCCTGAGATACTGTCCTCACAGCAGAACAGTCAAAGGGTCTGGGATGAGCTGTCTAAACTTGTTACACTGACCCATGGGATCCTTCCCACCTGCCCTGATGGAAGGACCTGTGAATGGCTTATGTGCATGGCGTGCTCTGCACCTCGCTGCTTCACAGGCAGCCGCTCCAGGCGTGCCTGGTAGCCTGGTGTGGTGTGTTTGGGCATGCGACACCGTGCTGTCATTCGTGCTGTTCTCATGCTTGCTGCCTGAGCAGCCCACGAATGTCCCGGCCCTTCAGTACGATGGGTGAAAGAAGCTTGCTGTATCTTGACCCAAACTCCGCTGAGGTCTGTAGATCAGGGTCTGAGTTCTGTCTCACGGAGGTGTCGGCACAGCTCTTGCAGGAGGACTGAGAGCTGTGTGGGCTGAACCTGCAGCGCGTGCAGAGCTGAGAATCGGCTGCAGTGAGGACGGTCCAGTCTGTGCCCGAGTGCAGACTGACACCGCTGAGCCCTCCTGTAGCAGCAAATCAGTCAGCATCCTCTTCAGGCTAGAGACACTGCAAGTGAAACAGTGTATTTGTGTTTGCTGCTGCTTATTCCTGAGGAAAAAATACCTATGCAGGTGAAAACCCAACATTTAGCCAACTGTCCATTAAAGCAGCTATTGCAGGGAACTGACCTTACATACAAGTGGGTACCAGTAGATATTCAGCAGGTTAAATTACTGGGCTGGGTTATTGTGGATGGGAGGAACTGTGGAAGCAGTAGATTATTTTTGTTTCTAAGGCCAGTGGCCTATAAAATAGCTCAACTCCTTTCCCATCCTCTGGGCTTAGCAAGGTACTATGGTTACCTGCGTGTTTTTGCTTTGGGAATTTATATGTATTTCTTTTTTTCTTTTTTTTTTTTAACAGATCTTGGATCCACATAAGATCTGTCACCAAAAGAAAGATTAAAAACTTGGTGTTTATTTCATTTTCCTGTCTGTCTGTGTGTACCTATAAGCTTTAAAGCTGTACATCAAAGACAATGGAACTCCTGCTGAAATGAAGCTGCAGGTTTGTGCAATATAGTGTGGAAGGGGCAGGATTTGAGGGTGTTGCAGAGCCACTGAACTAACATTTCTCAGGGAAATGATCCTCCAGGTTGTTTTTGAAATATAGGTTCATTCCACAACCTTAAGGACAGTGTGGCTTTATGGAGCAAAACAACCTTGCAGTAGGTGTTTGGGTGGTGCTGGTGCTTGGCAGCCTCTTGGATGAGGTGCTGGTTCTGTGAAAAAAACCTGCTTTAAAGGATGGGTGGAAAATGACCTTGTCCAGTTGTCTA